CTGGAGGGGGGATGCTGTGAGAGCAGCACCCAGCGCCAGTCCCATTCTTCAGCCACACCTGGGCTGGCAAGGGTGGCAGCAGTTGGCACTGAGTAGGCACCCATGGAAAAGATTGGATAAAGCATCATACATCTGGAGAAACTGAGGCATGAATTTAGGGGAGGGGGAGTGTATGAGGAGTCGGGGCACTTTGTGTCACCCATGTCCCTGTTGACACCCCCACCGAGAGTGGCAGGGAGAGGCAGAGTGAGGGTGGTGGGTGCGTGGCAGGCGGGCGCCCGGCAGGGGGAAGGCGGGTGGGGAGGGGAGGAGAGGGAAGCGCGGGGCTGCCAAAATCAACTCCGGGCGGTGCAAACACCCGGCCAGCTGCGCGGTGTAGCTAGGGAAACACGGCACAGCTGGAGCACAACAGGCCCCTGCCTCCCCAGAAAGCTCCTCCTGCGCCTCCCCGCAGCCCAACGAGCAGCTGGGGGGGCTGCAGCCCACCGCCCCACACCCCAGAGCCAGCATGGGGCTGCCCATCCCCAGTTTATCCATGGCTGCCCCATCCCATTCCCTGCCCTGGTCTGGCACACGTCCCCATGCACGGTGGAGGGAGGTGGGACAGGGGGGTTTGGCCTTGCCGGGGACCTGGCCAGTGGCAGGAGCTGGCAGAAGGCAGCGAAAAGTAGCTGGGCTTACCCAGCAGGACAGCCCGCTGGCATCAGCAGGACTGGGACACTGCCAGGACCTCGGGCACCCCCCGGGCACGGCTGTCCCTGACACACTGCTGCTCACAAACGCGTTCTGCGAGCAGCGACCATGACGGGCAGCATGGCACCCCTTGGCCCTGTGCCCTCCCAGCGGTGTCACTGACCTGTCCCCTCTCCTCTCTCCCGATGTCCTCGCTGGCTGGGGACCCAGCGGCGCGGAGGGCAGGGCAGGGTTGGGCTCTGTGTGGCAGTGCCAGTGTCGCTGCCCGGTGCCCGCTGCAGCCCAGCGGTGGCTCTGGGGACGGCGGGACGCGAGCGGGGCTGAGCAGGGAGGAGGCGGGCGATGGCTCCCAGCTGTCCCGCCGATGCCAGGAATCCGCTGCTGGCTCTGTGCGCCCAGAGCTCGTCACAGTCTCCTGGCTCGTCTGCGGGACACGGGGAAGAGATGAGGGAAGCTCCCTCCCCTTTCCCGGGGAAAGGAAAGAGAGACGGGGTGGCAGCGTGAGGGAGAGAGGGGCTGCCGGCACTGCCAGGCTGGGAGCAGGGTGGGATGTTGGCATGGGGCCTGTCAGGTCAGGAGGGTGCTGGGCATCCCTGCCCAGGGAGGGGGGCATGGCCACTGCAGTGGGGGCACATGGGCAGGGAGGAAATGAATGCTCCAGCTGTGCCTGCGCTTCCCTCATCCATAGCCTGCCCCTGGAAATGCCAAGGGGTGCCCTCATCAATAGGCAGAGGTGACTTGACAGAGCCTTGGGGGTCCCTGTGCTCTTGGAGAGGGGATGGTGCCAGCCAAGGGCAGCGCTGGTAAAGGGTCCTGCTCCCACCAGCTGCTTCCCAGTGCCTGCACTTGTGTGTGAGGAGCAGCGCCCTGCACAAGGCACCTCCGAGGCTCCAGAGCTGGGCCTGGCACTGGCACATCCCCAAAGGGGCTGCCAGCTGCAGGCAGCTGGAGCTGCACCGCGATGGAGGCAGCTGGCCATGGGCAGCCTCAAGCCGGGCACCTTCACCCCTCCACCACCTCTTCCCAGGGCGGGCACTGGCTTCTTCCCTCTGGCTGGGGGGTGATGGAGCTATGGGGTGTCTCCTGTCCCAGCAAAGCACAGGTGGGGTGCCCCAGCAGTGCCCTACAGAGCAGCCTGTAGCTCTGCAGGGGCTTAGCGGACATGTGTCCTGCTCAGCAGCGAGGGTCCTGTGGAGTATTCCAGAGGATCGGGGTGCCAGGGCTGTGCCATGCTGGCATGGGGGTGTCCCAGCAGGCCCTCACCCCAGCTCTGCCCCAGCAGCTCCCATTGTCTGCCCTCATTAGCTGCTGCCTGCTCCTGGTTTGAACACAAGCCCGGCTCGGGGCGACAGGAAGGAGCCTCTGCTCCCAAGGGATGGGGTCTGTGGTGAAACTGCATGCCATGGGCCCCCCTTCTCACAGCCTCCCACTGCCTTCTGGGCATCCAACACCCCTCCAGGCCTAAGCCTGAAGACAGGAAGGCATGTGGGGCACCCCCTCTCTCCAGAAAAGCCTCCCTCCACTGCCCTGCCCCGCTGTGGGATGCAGAGAGCCTTCAGCCCCCCCAAAGCTTTGTGCCGAGCGTGGCTTGTGCCGTGTCTAATCCCCCCGGCCTCACACACACGCGGTGGGGTGGGGGGAGCTGTCGTAATGGGTGGAAATATCTCATAATTCACGTTGGACACAGGGATTACAGCCATTCCGGCAATATTTGCACAACTGGTAGGCGACTTGCAGGGCTGGGCCATCCCAGATGAAGGCCAGGGGGGTCTGGGGATGCAGGGAGTTTTGGGGGTAGTAGGTAGGGAAGGGGGATGCAGTTTGGGGGGCAGTGGAGCGGGGGAAGTTGGTTATTTTCTGTCTGTGAACGCATGGAATTTATTATGGAGGGTGTGTTGCTGACATGGTGGGGATGGCTGGGGCTCTCGCCTTCATCTCATCCTGCTGTGGTGGCCACGGCTCGGGGAGCAGAATGGAAACCCCAAAAGAGTCTCATGGGCCATGCCAAACAGACCCTGGCAGTGTTCCTGAACGAGATACGTGTTCCGAGTGCCTCGTCAAGCCCATAGAGCTCCCTGCTCATAGGAGCACCTAAAGGTGCTGGTGTCCCCCTGACCCCAAATGTTCCCTCCTCAAAGGCTTTGCAGGGTGACCCCAGCAGGAGGAAGATGGGGGGCATGTGGGGGCCTTGTTTGGCACGGGGATTAGCAAGCTCCCAGAAGCGATGGTGGTCTCCCCCCTCCCCACCGGACATGCAGGCAAATATTTGTGCCCAGACTTCGCAGGACAGCGAGAAGGAATTTCATTCTTGCGCCCACCTGCGGCTCGACTGCCTGGCATTAACCCCTTCTCCTCTCCATGGGATGGAGGTGGAGCGACGAGGTGCCCTCCCAGCACACTCCAGAGGGACGATGTGCCCTCCAAGCACACTCCGTGTGCCCCATTGGAGTGGGAAGCTTGGCTGAGAAGCAGGATGGTAGAGGATGCACAGTGGAATCGCCCTAGATGCCAGCAGAGCCACTGGCATTAGGTGCCCTTGTCCAAGGCAAGGAGGGTTTGCCCATGGACATCCTCTGGGCAGCACCGAGGGCTTTGTGCCGGGGTGCTGAGCAGCCTGGGGCTTGCTGAAAACTGGGAAAGGTAAAACCTGCCATCCTTCACCCCCAAGCTGCTGCACCCGAGCAAGGTGCCCCTTGCAGGTCTTTGCCCGGCAGCCTGGGTGTTCTCCTGGGACGGCTGTCAGCCAGCAGCGCAAGGAGCAGGATTTACCCACGGATGTTTATTGGCAATTTGCATATGTAACAAAAAAGCCCGGAGGGTCCAGGAGGGACCCTGCTCCGGGGCTGCCCGTGCTCGGGGAGGGGCAGCCCGGGCCGCCGCTGCCCGGCACCCGAGAGCCCCGCTGAGCTCCTTTCCCCGGCCCCGGAGCCAGCTGCGTCCTGAGCAAACGGGGCTGTTTGCTCACGCCGGGATTAGCCGCTCTCTTTGTTCCTTTGACTTTCTCTTTCCTTTATGCCAGACCCTTTTATGGGGGCTTCAAAGGGGGCTAGGACCCCCTCCCTGTCCCTGGAAGGCCAGGTTTGCTTCCCATGCTAGCACTGACATCCTGGGGTGCCCACCGAGCACATCTGGGTGGCCTGCGGGGACAGCAGCTGTGTCACCGAACCACATTCTCCCCCCAACCCCGCGTCTTCCTCCTCTCCCCCCCTCCCCTTCCCTGACTCCTGGCACCTCCTGCTGTCTTCAGCACCTTGGCAAAGTGGGTGCGAACGGCTGTCCCTGCAGTCGGATTCCCAGCACTTTGCACCCTGTAAGGAGAGGTGGGAATCTTGGCACCGGGATCCGGCCAGCTGTGCAGCCCCGCGGCCCCCGCCGGGCTTCCTGTCCCTGCCAGAGCCCGGGCTGCTGCTCGGAGCCCCCGTGTCGCTCTGGGGTCCCTGTGCCTCACTCACTGCCCCCGTACTCTCTCCCTCTACAGCACGCAACATCCGTGGGATTGGGCTGGGGCCAGAAGCAGGAGCTCTCCCCCACATCCTCCTCTGCCCCCCCGGCATGGGCAGCAAAAGCTGGCATTGCCCTTTCCAGCAGAGGAATACCAGGCTGCCCACGGGCACAGGCTCATGCTGCCTGCCAGCTTCTGGCATTGTTGTAAAGAATATTTTGGAGTAAAGGGACTATTGTGGGCACCTTAGGCTGACCATGGGGGTCCATTAGACCTCCAGTTTCCAGATGCTCTCCAGTTTCCCCTGGTGGGTTTGTTTGCCTAATCAAGAAGGAATGCAGGGCACCGCAGCTCTCCAGCCTGGCATCGCAAATAACTTTGCACCCAGGGAGGGACAGGGAATGGACATGGTGGGGCCATGGCAGGGACTGGCATGGGGACGGCAGCGGGCCTGAGGCCAGCGCTGGCAGAGGGGCTGAGGGTGTTGATGGGCGTGATTGCAGCTTGTCACGTCCGCAGAAAAGGGCCACGGCCGTGTGGGAGGACTGGAGGTGTTTGACCCTGGTGCTCACGGGTCCCTTTGCTGCCAGATGTGCCCAGGCGAGCCGGTGCTGCCAGTCTCGTCCCTGCACCCACTGGACCCCCCAGCCAGGCCCCGGCAAGGTGGGCTGCTGTGGGCTGAGCAGGGCATGGGGCAGGTGGAGCGGGGCTGGGGTGTTTACTCTAACTGCTGTCACCCGGCCAGGCGCTGCCGGGAACCACTGTCCCTGGGGACAGGGGTGGGAACGTGCGAGAGCCGGGGTGTGAGAAGGAAACCACGCGCTGCAGGGAGAGGATGTGTGCTGGGAGGGGGGTGTCCCCCAAAGGAAGCCGTGGGGGGCTGCCGGGGTTATGTGAGCGCAGGCCCGGCGCGTGCCAGGGAAGTGCACGCGTGTACACGTAGGTCTGAGGGTGCACGTGGTGGCTGTGTACCCGTGTGCAGTACGGGGGGACACACACGTACACATGGGCATGGGGATGTGCACCCCCTGCCAGAGTGCCCAGCCAGAGCTGATTTTGCCAGGGAATGTCACAGCCATGCCAGGGCGTGGTGCTGAACAGGCCCTGGTGCTTCTCCTACCCAGGGAGGGGCATCTCACCCAGCCCGCTCCCAAGCAATTCCCTGTGTGAAACAGCCGTGGGGCTATGCCCTGACCCCTGTGATCCACAGCCCTCCCCAGCCCAGAGGGATCCCATGAACCACAGCCATCCTGGGGGGCTCCAGCTCCCTGAGTCACCTCTGGCGGATGCAGGGGTCAGAGCATGAGGGCCAACAGGGATGGGGTCTAACTGGATAAAGGTCACCACGGATGAAGTCCACCTCTGGAAGAGGATCACCAGATTACAGTCCACCTCTGGGAGAGGGTTTTTGGTGGCTTTCGTAGCTGGCTGCCACAGCCAGGAGCAGGACTTCATTAGGGCTGATGTTCCCGGGGCTGTCGAGTGCAGGATCACTGCCACCATCTCTTCTGTAGGTACCAGGGCCACCCACGGCCGGGGCACCGAGCACTGAGTGTGGCTGCCGAGCGCTCAGGCCCGGGGCCAGGTGAGCAGCCACGGAGAGCGCCCAGGGACGCCCTTCCCGTGCCCCGAGCCAAGGGAGGAAGCGGCCGGAGGCAGGAAGCCTTTCCCCGGGCCCGGGGCCCCCGCTGCGATTTAGCTGGAAGGTCAGCGGCGACACAACAGGAAATCTGCTGCCTCGGCCGGGCCGGGCCGGAGCCGCGGAGCCGCGCCGTGTCCCGGGGCCGCCGCCGGTCCCGGCCCCCGGCCCGGCTGGGCGGCCCGCGGGGAGCCCGCGCCACGCCGCCCTCCATGGAAGGGCGCCGGGAGCCGGGCAGCAGCCGCGGGCCCCAGCGGGGAACATGCAGGGCCGGAGCCCCCAGCCGAGCATGGAGCTGAACAGTGAGTGTGCGGCTAAAACGGGGACTGGGTGCGCAGGATGGGACAGTGGGTGCTGTGGTCCCACAGCCAGAGTGTCCCCTGCACGATGAATCCCACAGATGGGCATCAAACCCCAAGGGTGGCTCTGGGCTAGTTGGACCTGGCCACTGCCAGCATGTGAGGGCAACCAAGCATCTCTCCTTGCCCATCCTAGGCAAACAGGCTGCAGCGAGCATTTCTGGGGTAGTGCCAGGGCAGGCAGAGAGGCAGGCAGGAGGATGCAGAGAGGGATGGAGAAGCTGGCAGGACGTGGGCACAGCCGTGTGCAGCGGCACTGGGGAAGGCAGTGCTGGCAGAGGAGCACTCAGCAGGGCAGCGGCCAGCAGCAGATGCTCCCTGTGGGACAGTGCAGGCTGGGATTCCCCGAAGTGCACATGACGCCTGGAACTGCTCTTGGCAGGGATCCGGAGGGCTGGCCCTGGTCTGCACAGGGAGTACAGCCCTGCTTCCTTGCCTGGAGCGTGGCCGAAAAACCTGGCAGACATGGCTGTGCGGCCCCTTGGCACACACCAGTGCACGGCAAGGCCGGCTCTGAGCACGGCACCCCTCGCTGGCTGAGGCAAGCCCGGCTCTGAGCACCGGCACCCCTCGCTGGCCGAGGCAAGCCCGGCTCTGAGCACCGGCACCCCTCGCTGGCTGACTGGAGAGCAGCCGGGCTCTCCTCAGCCCCTCACACCCCCCTGCAGCCGCTCCACGGGGCCATCGACACCACCAAAGGGCTGGGGACAGGACTGGCCACTTGCAGGTGGTTCTGGGCTGGCACAATGCACAAGGCAACCCCATCTCTTCCAGGACTGCTCCTCCTCACATCCTTCCTCCTGCACGTGAAAGAGGACCGTGCCAGCCCAACGCGGCTGGTCTGTGACAACAGGCTTATCCAGAAGTACATCGTGGAGGCCAAGGACATGGAAAAGAGAGTGGTGAGGATAGAGTCCCCCACAAAACCCAAGACCAGGGACATGCACAGTTCCTGGCACCTCACCCTGACATCTCTCCTCACTAGGGCCAGTGCCAGGCCCTGCCTGCACTCAGGTGCCCTGCAGTGCTGCCCTTGGTGGACTTCACTTTCCTGCAGTGGAAAGCCAAATCGGTGAGAGGGGCTGGGAGGAGGGTGCTGGCACTGGTGTGCTAACAGGACTGGAGAAGGAACCTTGGGTAGGCACAAACACCAGAAATGCTGAACAAGATGCTTGTAGGCATATCTGGTGGCACAGGGAGGGTAGAGGACTCCATCCAGACCTAAGGTGAGCACAGAAAGCAACGAGGCCCTGGGGGTCACTGTCTGCTCCCCCAGAACGAGACCAAGCGGCGGGAGATCCTGTGTGACCTGGCCCTGCTGGTGGGTGCTGCAGCAGGGGCCCAGGGCCAGGTGAGCGACGAGTGCGGGGCCAGGCAGCTGAGCCAGCTTTACCGACACGCCAACTCCTTCTTCCTGCTCCTGCAGAGCTTCAGCTGGGAGGTGAGACCTCCCCACACGAGCCAGAGCACCCCGGCACAGGTGCCAGCTGGGCTGGGCTGGGTGCAAGTGTTTGTCACCCCTCTGTCCAACTCTCAGGCAGGACACTGGGAGCCGAGCTGCTCCCCACACTCCACGGAGCAGACCCACATCTCCAGCATTTTCCTCACCTACCGGCAGCTGGTACAGGGCAAGCTGCGCTTCTTCTTCTCTGACCTGGCCAAGGTCTTGTGCAAGCAAGGACAGGGGGACAGCAGAGACCCTCCATGCGGGGCCCGGTGAGGCTGCACACAGGGTTCAACCACAAAGTGATGCTGGAGCAATCCTGCAGGACACTGAGCTGTGCTCTGGGTGCCCAGGAAGATGCCCACAGGGAAAAGGTTGGCACCTGTTCCTCAAGTCTTCACAACCGTGCAGCATGTGGAGGCAAACAGTGACAACGGGCCAGCAGGCACAGGCCCTGCTCCCATCTGGGCAGGCACCTCTACTGTGAATGCTTTTCGATTAAAGAGCTATTTTTCTAAAGAGCTGTGTGTGTCCTTGTGCCTGGGCCCAGGGCAGAAGCCAGCTTCTCTGACAAGCTCCCAGTTCTGCCCAGTGCCTGCTCCCACCCACGGTGGGAGGATCCCGTGCTGCAGGATCCCCTGGCATGGCCCCAGCTGCCACTCTGCCTCTCTGTACCCACCTGTGGCAGGTTTCGACTCTCCATCCTTTGGGAAGTGTCAGGGCCCCCCCTTTGTTTCTGCACACGTGTATCTACTCCCTGCCAGCCTCATCTCTCAGCAAGCAGAGCCAGGTGTACAAAACATCCCAGTTTAATCAAAACCAAGGCAGCCTGCCTCAGGATGGCTCCTGAGGGAATGATCCTCAGAGACAGGCAGGCAGCTGTCCCAGTCCAGTTGCTCCTGGCCAGAGCCAGAGCTGTTGAGCACAGGCAAAGGTGAGGAGATGCCATCAGGCAAGCCTGGAGCACCCAGCAGAGTGTCCACTCAGATGACAGGCACCTCCTTCCTTGCAAACAGAGATGTGGATCCCAGCAGGAGTCAGAAGACACTGGGATGAGGAGGGGGACTGCTCCTGCCCCCTCAGCTCTGAGGAGGCTGGGCAGCACGGGTGCTGGAGCAGAATGTGGGCTCTCAGGGCTCCAGCTGGATGTCTGTGGGGCAGCCCATGGAGGTGTGCTAGAATGCCAACTTCTTCATCAGCAGGTACACGCGCGAGTCCACCTCAAACCCGTGCAGGTTGTTTGCGTCTCCCTGCAGCCGCATGAGCAGCCCCCCGTAGGACACGTAGGCAGAGCTGAGGTGGGAGGAGAGGAGCAGTGAGAGCAGGGAACCCCATGGGAGGCCTGAGCCGAGATCCCAGCGCTCCCCACCCCACCCCACCCCGGGGCACCGTGTCCCCCCACTCTGGACAGGCACTCACAGGCGCGTGGCCGCCTCCGTGGAGGTCTCGTCCCCCTCGATCCGGTACACCTTGCCGTACATCACGTACTCAAACTGGTCTGCCCTGCAACAGCACAGCCTGAGGTCAGCAAGGAATCACACCCGGCCGTTCTCCCAGCTCAGTGTCCTCTGGGAGAAGGTACCTCCCAGTTACAGAGTCAATTAGACTGGAAAAGACCTCTCAGATCATCAAGTCCAGCCTGTGACTGAACACCACCTTGTCAACTAGACCACAGCACGAGTGCCACACCCAGCCTTTCTTTAAACAGTTCTAGGGATAGGGACTCCACCATCCTCCCGGGCAGCCACTCCAATGTTTAATCACCCCCTCCGTGCAGAAATTCCTCTTAGTGTCCAACCTGACACATTCAGCCTCAGCACTCCCCTTTGTCCCTCATCCCCGTGGGCAGGGGTCCCAGCCGGGCCCTGTACCTGGAGGGCCGATCATCCGTGGGGTTGTACTCGCCATCGTCCAGGGTGCCGTCCTCATACAAGGTGCTGGCGATGACCAGGCGGAATTTGTCCCCTGTGAGAGGCCAGAGCAGCAGTGAGAAGGTCAGAGCACAGCCAGAGCAGCAGCAGCACACACAGCCAGAACTCCGGGCCACCCTGGCAGGGGGTGCCAAACAGGCTCTGTCCCTGCTGCCAGTCCTCCAACAGGGCTGTGGGGAACATGTGAAAGTCACACTGGATCCTGTGCCTCCTTGTAACCCACATCACAGAGGAAACCAGAGCCACAAGGACACCACTGCTGGTGTTTTCAGGGGATACAAGAAAATATTCACTTATATCCCCACAGAGAGCTTGGCTGGACCCTTGGGCAGGTACATGAGCCCCTGCAGCATCAGCTTCAGCCCTTCTGTGTTTCATCAAGGGCAATATTCATTTTTCCACATATTTAGTATATTTAGCTGCAGAAGTTAATTTCAGGACTTCTCCCTTAAAGCCTGGTTACCACCAGCTGAAGCAGCTTCCCCAAACAGCATCTGTGTGGGAAGGGACAGAGGTGAGCCCAAACAAACACAGGGAGGTGAACCAGGAACCAGTTCAGCCTCAGTACACCGAGAGTGCCTCGAACCTCCGGCCACTTGGGGACAACACAGGGCCACAAGGAAGCCCGAGGCAGCCGGTTCCTGGATCACAGCCATTCCTGACTCCATCCCCTCTAACCTCGCCCGCCCCGTGCCCGCCGGCTCACCGAGGTCCACGGGATAGATCTGGATGTTCACGTCCAGGATCAGATCCATCTTGAAGGACTCGCTCTCGCAGTGCAGGCGCGACACTGGGGACAGCAGCAGAGTCAGGACAAGGACACAGAAGATCCCCGCGGGCTGGGTGGGAACAGGGTGATCCTCCCAGCCCAGGCTGGCACCGGAGCCGCTCTGGGACGGGGCTGGGATGGCGGCAGAGCCCGGCAGCGGGCGGAGCTGAGCACAGCAGGGCGAGGGATGCAAGACACGGGCCCCGCGGGCGGCACGGCAGCCGGGCTGGGGAAGCCCGGGGGAAGCGCGGCGCTCCGGGGCTGCCAACGTGCGGAGGGGCGGGAGGGGCGCACGGGGGGCCGGGAGAAGCGGGCCGGGCCCGACTCACCGCGGTCGAACTTCTTGCCCTCCGGGTCGATGTCCTTCACGTCGAAGATGTCCTCGAAGAGGATCCCGGCCATGGCAGCGGCTCCGCTCCCGCTCCCGGCGCCGCTCCCGCCCGGCGCACACTGATGACGCAACTCACCGGGCGGAAGCGGCTTCACGGTGGGCGGCGCCCCGACCCCGCCAGGACCGGCGGGAGCGCGCGCCGCCCCCGTGCCCGCGCCTCCCGCGGTGACCGGCAGGGGGCGCTGCGAGGCCGCGGATGGACCCGCGCACGGAGCGGGCACCGCAGCGCCCCCCCGCGGCGGGCTCGGGGAGCCCCGGGAGGGGTCCCGGGAGGGGTCCGGGGTGTCCCGGGAGGGGTCAGGGATGTCCCGGGAGGGGTCCGGGGTGTCCCGGGAGGGGTCAGAGATGTCCCGGGAGGGGTTCGGGGTGTCCCGGAAGGGGTCAGGGATGTCCCGGGAGGGGTCAGGGATGTCCCGGGAGGGGTTCGGGGTGTCCCGGGAGGGGTCAGGGATGTCCCGGGAGGGGTCCGAGATGTCCCGGGAGGGGTCCGGGGTGTCCCGGGAGGGGTCTGAGATGTCCCGGGAGGGGTCCGGGGTGTCCCGGGAGGGGTCCGAGATGTTCTGGGAGGGGTCCCGGTGTCCCGGGAGGGGTCAGGGATGTCCCGGGAGGGGTCCCGGTGTCCCGGGAGGGGTCAGGGATGTCCCGGGAGGGGTCCCGGTGTCCCGGGAGAGGTCCGGGGTGTCCCTCGGGGCCCTTGCAGCCCGTGTCCCTCGCCGCAGGGGACGGAGGGGCTCCACCCGCGCCCCCGATCGCAGCCGGACATGGGTGCGATGGGTCTCGGAGCTGCCGCCCCCACCGGCTTCTTCCTCCTCACCCGCCAGCCACGGCGGGACGGGACGTGTGACACCGTCCCCCGTGTCCTGCCGGTGAACCGTGAGGGGAGCAGGGGGGTCTGGCACGGCCGGGGGCTGCTCACACGTTGGGCGCCACGGGGTGCTCCATGCTTGGCATCTGGTCGGGAGCGGGTTCAAGAGTTCAGCCCTGTCCTCCGCGTTCCCCGAATGCCACCGCCAGCCCGCCTGAACAAAAGCTCCCCTGCCCCCGGAGAGCCTTGGCACTGGGGACCCTGAGCCTCGCTCGGGCAGCGTGTGCCCGCCAGGATGTGGCACAAAGAATCTGGTGGAGCCGGCAGGTGCCCCGCTGTGATGGGGACCGGAGAGAGCGGCTGGCACGGCGCTGTGTGTGAGTCACATGCCACCATCTCCCTCGGGACCACGATCTCCGGAGTGGGGACATCTATGGGATACGGCTCCCCGTGCGTGGCCCCTGTGCCTGCAGCGAGGTGGTTTCGTGGGGACGTAGTCCCTGCTGTCCCCAGGAGCCAGACATTTCCAGGTCGTGGTCCGGGATGGCACCCAGAGCCAAGCTGCCCCAGCATCCGCGCCGGGAGGCCTGTCACAAGGCGCTTGTGGTCCCCAGACACACACAGGTGTGACCTCTGCATGGCACGTCCCCTCCGTCACACGGTGCCAGCGCATCCTCACGCATGCCTGAGGCGCAGGCAGCGGAACGGGGCAGGGGGTGACACGCAGCGGGGACACTGGCGTGAAGGGGGGTGCCGGTGCCAGGGGTCTGGTGGCTCGTCGGGGGAGAGCGGGCGGTTCACGGCGGGGTCACCCCGCGGCGGTGGCACTCAGCGGGGACAGTCTTAATGCGCTGGGACGGAACCTCGGCTCCCTCTGATCATCGCCTGGCTGGGCAACTCCCCCAAGCCCCGCAGCCCCCTCCCCACTCTGGCCACCCTGGCTCGGGGAGGGGCAGAAACCTCCTCCCTGCCAGAACGTGGTGGCCGCAGACAGGCTCTCCTCTGGGGCAAGGTGAGAGGTGCGGACCCTTCCCCAGAGTTCTGCGCCCTCCTGGCACCCTGCGTCCCGTGTGCCCGCTTGTTTGGGGTGCAGGACTGGGCTGGTGCAGGGACACCCCTGCGTGAGGGGCTGTGGGGGCCGCCCGAGGCTGTGCAGGTTGCCGGGGGGTGGCAGCAGCACACCGAGCATGGCAGGACAGCCCCAGGGTGTGCCGGAACCGAGGGAGTCCTGCCACAGCCAGGCGCACCAGTATGACCAGTTGTCCTTTCCAGAATCCTCAGGGTGCCGGCCTGGAGGGACGTGACCTCCCGGCCTCCTGGCTGTTTTTCGGGGAGGGGTCCATGTGCCAGCCCCACCTGTATTCAGGGGTACCCACTGGGATCCTGATGTGATTCAGGCTGGAGTGCCATGGCCAAGCTGTGCCCCCTGCTTGGATGCTCTCAGAGCCACTGCGGGGTGACACAAAGGGCTCACCCCACCTGGCTGTGCCTGTCTGCCCCTGCTGAGACCTGGCACAGCCGGCACAGGCCAGCGGGCAGCTGGGGCTGTGCTCACCAGCCGGCGAGGCAGCCCCCAGGGGTGCTGCTGCCCAGCGACCCTGCCAGCCGGCACTGCCATCTGCT